TTTGTTTGTTCTATTAGTTTTTTTTTAATAAGGAGTGGATTGCTTGAGCTGAGTTGACTGTTTTCTAAGATCACATTATATGGGCATGCCAGCCTGACTCTTGTAATCAGCCTCTAAGAGGATGATTGACAGGCCTGTGGCCTGAATTGTTACTTCCCTCAGATTTCTAGCAAAGGTAAATAGATCAATCTCATTTACTTCCAATTTCATCTATATCAAATTTTATTCTGAATACAGTCAAACCCAGTTAATCAGCCACCCTTAGGGAACTGGAAGAATGCTTTAGTTCACCCCTTGCTTAAGAAAGCAGGACTCAAACCTATTAACAAAAATTTTCGACCGGTGAGCAACTTGCAGGTTACATCAAAGATCACGGAAAAGTCCGTGGCTATCCAATTACAAGATCATATGACAGCCAACAACTTATTTCCTGTCCTCCAAAGCGCATATCGGCAGAATCACAGCACTGAGACGGCGTTATTTAAAGTTAAAAACGATCTTCTGCTAAATATGGACAAAGGTCACGTCACATTGCTTGTTATGTTAGATCTCAGCGCTGCGTTTGACACCGTAGATCACGGTATTCTTCTGCACAGGCTGCAGTCCAAGCTTGGCCTTCGGGATAAGGCTTTATCTTGGTTTAAATCTTATTTGGCGGGAAGAACGCAGCAGGTCTCAGTTAACGGATCGCTCTCTGATAAATTTAATCTGTCTTGCGGGGTTCCACAAAGTTCTTGTTTGGGCCCCCTCTTATTTACCATCTACGCGAGTTCGCTGTTTGACATCATGAAATCTCATCTGCCATCCGTTCACACCTACGCGGACGATACACAGCTATATATATCGTTTAATCCCGTTGATAAGACCAGCGAGGCTGATGCTGTGATTGCGATTGAGAACTGTATTCGTGACGTTCGCGCTTGGATGAGAGATGATAAGTTAATGCTAAATGACGATAAAACTGAGTTCCTGATCATTGGCACGGAACGACAGTTATCAAAGGTGTCCGTTGACAAGATCAAGATCGGCCAAGCTGAGGTATCGCCTGTTTCTTCAGTGCGCAATTTGGGCACCTGGTTCGATTCTCATCTGGACATGTCGACTCATGTGACTAAGACTTGTGCTAGCGCGTTTTATTATTTGTACAATATCCGGCACATTAGGAAGTATTTGTCTCGTGAGTCCACCGTGAGGCTTGTTCACGCGTTCATCACAAGCAGGCTTGACTACTGTAATGGTTTATTGTACGGTGCTCCTGAGTATCTAATTAAGAAACTTCAAAGAGTCATGAATGCCAGTGCTCGATTGGTTTACTGTGCACCTAAGTATTGTCACGTTACTCCTTTGCTAAGAGAACTCCACTGGCTACCAGTGCGCTTGCGCGTAGATTTTAAGATTCTCCTTGTTACATTTAAGATTCTTCACGGCGTTGCGCCTAGCTATCTTAAGGATCTTGTCTCTGTCTTACCGGTCTCCCGTCACCAACTACGCAGGCAATTTTGTCAGGAACAAATACTTGAGTTAACCTTCAGTTTACAGCTGTTGCAAATTCAGTTCAAATTTAAAGCCCCAAATTTGCACCACATTTGCACACCTTGACAAGCACTAGTAAATCCATTTTTTCCTCCAGTGAATACAGCACCTGAAAAACAGCTCTAACAACGAAAACACTATAAAAAGCACTGCTGTTTGGTCGTCGGTTTGGAAAAAGCGGTGTTTAAAGAAGGGAATTGCCAAGGAGATCGAGAATTAGCGATTCTACGCCGAAATTAAAAACAAACATGATTAAACCTCGCAAACGACGATTCCATTTCATCGAAAGTGATTCGGACACAGACTGAACAATTCCTTTAACTGTTTAGCCAGACTTTGAACTTTTTTGCGCCTTAAAGATTCGAAAATATCCTTGTATATTATTGTCAATATTATCGTGCGCGGTTGTTTTGACCGAACGCACGATTTGAATTAAAAATTTTTACACTTAGTGCGCGCGCTTTGCTTCTGGATAACTATGATAAGCTATCTCGTATTTTCCATGTATATTATTAACACGTAATCACATGATTTTTCTCGTACAATTTGGAATAAATAAGCATTCGTTAGACCACAAATTGCACTCACCCTACGGACTCGTTAGTCTGAAAAAATTTACTCGTGCTTATTTTTACCAAATTGCACTCGAAATCATGTGATTACCTATACTAATATTGCACAAGTACCGCCCCTCGCTGCAGCTCATTGACCGCTGGGGGATGTCCATATGCGTACTTTCATGAACGTTCTTTCATGGCAAGATTGTTCTGCCAATGAAATAGTTTTTTTAAACAAAAGTCGTTAATCTCACCAAGACGTTTTTTTCCATAGGTCATTAACAGTTGATGTTGTTAGCTCCAACCTTTTTAGTCACGCTTCGAATGATCATGGACTTATTATGCCGAGGTACCTTTCATACGCAAAATGTCATACAAGTACATGCATATTTTCTCTCGTCATCAACTTCACAAGTTGGAGTGTAGTTGTATAACAGAGTATTTAGTCTAAAGTAATTTTAGTTGGAATGAGCTCTGATCATCCTATGACTCGTTGGTTCTCTTTCTGATTAGGCGCTTGCTATCTCTTGATATTACAAGGGTTACACCGCTAATTTGTTTCCTTGTTATGTCCTGTACATGAGGTAACTAATCCATCAGGTTTTACCAGTTCACTAAGACCAGTCCAGTGGCCTTTACTTATTCCCAGAGTATCAAAGCCCATATCTTCCCACGTGTCTGAAGATCTAGGCTGTTTTTGTCATTCCGTACATGACGCAAGCTCTCCTCTCTCCCGTGTGGACCATTGCTTTGCAACGTAACCAGGTAGACTCTCTTTCGTTCTCATGATATATTTTGGTAGCTTTACTCAGAAGACGGCAAAAGCTAAACGGAAGGGATTCAGTAAACAAAATGAGCTAATCTTTTTCTCAACGAGATGAAGTAGTTACAACATAATTCACCCCATGTAAGATAATCCAGGACAGTATTAGATTCTGCATTCCACGTTGTAGATTCCAGATTCCAGGTGCTGGATTCCGGATTCTATCCCTGCAGATTCCGGATTCCAAAACACAAAATATTCCAGATTTTAGTTTCTGGTTTGCTCCTAATTTTCGCATTTCGTTCTCTAGGAATGACGTCAATGGCGGATTTATTTATTGAAGGACATGTTTGTGAATGCATGTTTCTCTATTCATATTTCCATGAAAACATTTGATAATTACAAGAAATATATTACAGCAAATTAAGGGATAAACTTTTCTTTCGGGAAAATTGAAATATAATTGAACACGTGAGTAAACTGCACTGCACAGTGGCTAGTGGTTGCATCGGTCACGATAAAACGCAGACCGCAGACCATGCAGACTGCATTTTTTTTTCTTTTCTTTTAAACTGTGATTTACATATGATCAAGGTGCGAACGCCTTTTCCTTACTCATGATAACGTTGGAACTTTTTCCAATTATTGGACACCACATAACGAAATTTTACGAGATTATTTCGGAGCCCACGTTACCTAGCAAAACAAAATCGCAGGCTCAAGTTTTTTCGAGCACATGGAGATTAGCCCCACGCGCCAAGATGATTGCAGACGTAATTTGTGTAGACAGTGATGCTGATTTAAAGGTAATAGCGAGCTATAACAGTCGAAATTCTTCGGCGAAATAAGCGCAGTCTGTACGGTCTGCAGTCTGTATTTTAGCATGACCGGGTTGTGTGGATGCGCGTGAAAGCCGTTAATACGACTTGAAATGGATTTTCAGGAAATGGATTTTCAAGAAATGGATCCTGGATTCACTTTTTAGCGGGATTCTGTGTTCCAAAAGCTGGATTCTGGATTCCAATGCCCAGTATTCCGGATTCCACGAGCAAAAATTTCCTGGATTTTGGAATCCGGATTACCTTACATGGGGCGACATAATGCTCACATACTAACTTCCCCCTAAATAAAGGTCCAGGCGCATTATGCTGTCTTTCCTCTCACCTGAGACCTGTCAAACTTTCTCAACTTATCAAGGGCAAGGAGGTAAGACCCCAAGTGTCACAGCTTACAAAATTTTTGAGGCTACACATCACGACGAAGTGGATGGTTTTGAGCCACTCTTTCACTTATAGCGTCTTTGGAAAAATTCACAACACACATTGTACTATAATGAGTTTGAAATACCGAATCAAAGTTATTGATGATGTATCCTTACTTATCTTTTTTTTTAATAAAGTCAATTTTTCATATCAATATTCTTTCAAAATGATTTATTTGTATATTTTTAGCTATCTACAAAATTACAAATAAAAAATAAATATCCAGTTATATATTAAATATACAGTTAATATTATCTAAGAGTCATAAGAAATATAAAGCATTAGAAATATTATCCAGGCCGCTTTCAAAACATAAGTCATGATATTTGAAGTTATAAATATTATAATATCATATTTTTTCCACAAACACATTTTTAGATGACATATTTTCTTCAGGGAAAAACGTCTCTGTAATCGGTCACTGTTAAAGCATATTTTTTGGTAAAGGGTTGTTCCTAGTGTAGCCCAAAACGAGGGAAATTTTAGAATACCGTTTTGACTTCTGCAATAAATTACATTTTGGACTTTGAAGTTGAAATTTTATTTCTTTGTTTCCATAAAGTTTCTTTCCATAAATAAATACTATGTCTTTTGCCTTTCGAATACACTTTATAAATATATTATAATTACAGGTAACTTTTCATGGACCCACACGAAAAATTTTCGCTACTGCCTGAAAACTAATTGATATTATATTACAATAGATATCCAAATAGTTTAAGATTGACTCGGGAGCTTGGTTTTTCAAGCAATAAATAACAGATCTAAATTTAAGGATAATAGATAACAGCAAACTGCACCATGCAAATCTTGCACACGATTAAGAGGTTTTGACCAACTAAACCACAAAAACCGTTCGGCAAGGGTATTGTCCGTTCCAGGCACTCAGGTCTTATGTAAGACCTGAGAGGTTGCAATAGGCAAGGATTTACTGCCACATATCTCCTTGCAGACCAGTGGTATCTACAGTTATTTTGATAAACATTGTATCGTTCCGAATATAGCCACCTTGCCTTAGTTCCATGTGAGAAATAAACGTCGGGCAGCCAGATGCTATGTTCATGTCTGATGTGGGTCTTTTAAAGCTTGAGTTGTTAGGCACAGGGCGAAACGCATCATACGCGTCCCGGATCCTCTCCTGGTCTATCAATCGAAAATGAACCTTTTGGAGAAACGGCCAAGGTAATAAAGCATCGTATTCACCCCTCATGACAACAAAGAACATTGACAAATGCGTTCCTTTGCCAATGCCGTCTCCATTGGGGTAGAGACGAGCACATACTTTGTACCCAAACCGTCCTACATAGAAAGGAGGGCTGTAAATAGATAGAGTCTTTCCAGTAACAGCCTCTTGGAAGCGTTGGCTATAGCGGTCGATCTTCCAAACGTAGGTGCCATTATATGATGTAGCCTCCAGCATTTGAATCTGCATATCATGATCAGACAATTGAATGTCGTGCAATGCTAGCTGGTGCTCATTCCTGTCCAGCCGGCGTTCAGACTCACGAGTGAGAGACACGTCGAATTTTGAACAATAGTTACTCGCACTATTTGGCGTGGCAGGGGATAATTTCAAACGGGCCACTTCACCCTGAAGACTTCTCACCTCCTTCTCTTGTTCTCGCAGCGTGTTCATTATTTCTTCCATCTGAGACGAGACAACATCTCCCTTGGTTCTAGATGCCTCAAAAACCTTTAAATCGGCGAGCAATTTCTCAGTTGTCCTCTTTTGTTCGATGATGGAGTTTTCTACGTGGGACAATTTTGTCTCTTGCGTTTGTGTGTTTTGTCTTGCAGCTGCCAACACTTCTGATTGATTTTGTAGTTGACGTTCCAAAGCACTTTTTTCTTGTTCTAGACGATATATCTTCTCTTCCATCTGTTTTAATTTCTCGTTACATTCATTGCTTGAATAGTTCATTATTTCAAGATGAGACTCGATATTTTCAGTAACGTGTTGATCGATATTTTGTTTAGTGCCCTGTAGAAAAAGAAAAAGAAAAATTGATTTGGATTGTGGCAATACAGATTACATAAGGTGGTCATTATATTGGGTCTGATATGCTATTTTCTGCTGTTAGATTCTGGTACGCTCAGACATTTATAAATCATATATTAGGACGAAAGATGAAACAAATAGACCAAAAGTAAATAACTAACCTTAAATTCACAGCCATGAACACTAAAAGGACATAGATGTTCAGCTTTAAGACAACGTGTGGACACGTGTTCTTCCATCATGTCTCTTGGTATACCCTCTTCACCACAGTTCAAGAAGCACTGGATTGGAAACTTAAGGCACACATCCAAATGTTCCTTTAGAAGATATAAAATATAAGTTGGGGTCGAGTTGACCTTTTATGCAGTATAGACGATACGATCATATTTAGTTATTAACACCTTGCTCATATCAGACCAAACCAAATTGATGTATATTTTCGAAGATGTAAACTACATATACATGTATGTGCTGACGTGAAATTCAACTGGTATTTCTCTTCAGTCTTCATATTTTGAGACAAACTTCGAGCATGTCAGTGTCAATCCATATCGGTTTTTTGTTTTAACAATGGAGCTGATCATCTTACCTTCATATAACTATGCCGAACCTCGCCACCACAGTAGGTACACGCCACTGCCCTGTTGATACAATCTTGCTCCCTGTGCGCCGTGAGCTGTCTCCTCTCCACAGTTTCACCGCACGCTTGACATTTTACATTACCGTACTGACAGCTATCTTCGTGTGTCTGTTAAAATAAAGAGTATGGAGTTTAAATGACATTTAATTGTAAAATATGTTTTCTGCTTTTGAATTTTGTTTTATTTTTACCTCTTCTCGCTACTTCAAACCTCACTTGTGACTTGCAGGCAGGTATTTACATTTTAGAAGTCTTAGGAAGTCACGCCACTCTAATCATGTGAATTATAAGAGTTTGTCTGGGATAGTCTTAAAGTTTTAAATAGGTCTGTATCTTTCATCGTTACACAGGCAATAAGCTCTCACAACATCAGAATTCAGCACCTGTTTATGCTGTCATTTTTGCCAGAAATTTCTAGCCGAGACCGTTGATTGAAAATTTCGCAATATGTTTGCGTGCGTGACCAGCTATGTTTATTGCATTTTCTAGAAGCTTTTCGAAGATTTTGCACCTTTCGGCGGCGAGATGTACCTCACGTACGTCTTAGGCAAGCAAAATTAGAGTTCGTTGCCTCAAAGTTTGCAGATTTCAACCAAAGGCTGTTTTTCAAGGCAAGTTCACAACGCCACTCTATTTGGGTAGATCGATAAAGGTGCATGCAAATTTTGCACTGAATACCTTTAGATATCTGAGCTCCCCTTTCCAATCGCATCCTTTGTTATTAAATCGGCAGAAACATCGAAGATTAAGAACTTCTCTCTCACAGCATTTATCCCTAAAAGATTGCTGTCTTGAAATTGATTCACCCTCTATCGGACACCTTGGGTTTTCTTGTCTGAAGGAGTAAATTCGAAGTTAAATATAACTATAAAATTCATAATTTCATTCAACACTCATTCTGGCATATCTTAAGTCGACAGAACCAGATGGCTTTTCCCATCCGGGGCGGAAAAAGTGTCGGAAGTAACTCGGAAGTAGTGATTTCAATTACACCTGTAAATGGACATTTTCAGCCGTCAAATAGAAATTAAAGTAGATTTCAATTTTTCTGAAGCGACTTCGTTTCGGACGGAAAAGCAGGAGTGGATAAGAAATAAGTAGTCAATGAAAAATTTCGACCTACCCTAAAAGACGTTCCAGACAGTCGCTACAAAATCGATGTCCACACGATGTCTGCCAGGGCTCATCGAAAACCTTCTTACAGATCGGGCAATTAAGCCTCTCGTCTACTCTGTCTACGAATTTCATATCAGTATCCACCATTGTGTCGATTGCGACAACCATAGTTCAGCCAATGAAACGAGTCAGTAAAGCGCCCACAATTTTCCACTGAATGAATATTCTATATGAAGATAAACGCACAAACTTCAACATATATAGCTTCTACTCTCCCATTTTTAGATATTTTTAGATTCAGTGGACGTGTACTCATTCGTGACGTCAGTTTCCAGAATGTACGTAATTTTACGAGCTGCATGACATGCATATCACTGTGACGCGTATCAACATCTCGTAAACAAACACAATAGAATAAACTGATTACAAAAGAGTGTGTTTTTCATTTACTTCAATAATGATCATAAAGTGAAATATTTCATCGACTCTTTGTGTTGAGTGGTCACGTAGGGAAATAGTCGTCTTACTCCGATTTGGACCTTATAACACAGTACGTGTCTTCATGCAAAGTTGTGTTACTCCACTTTATTCGCATGACTTGTCCTGTGTTCATGCTCTTTACTGCCAAAGATCTCCATTTCGAGTTACACTACGAGCGGGAGACAGAATTGAAGGGCTTATCTTTTGTAAGAATCGTCATATTTAACGGCTCAAGATGGCTAACGAGTCTCAAAGGTATCGTTTTCACAAAGACGATCCAGACTTCAAAGGACAGTACGTTAGATATTTCAATTGAAGCTGTTTGCACCACAGTTTACATACCTGAGCTAATGCTATTGTGTGTGCATTGTTACTTGCGTCATTGACATGACATCAAGATTCAGTTATCCCAAGGAAATGAATACCAAAAGTTATTAAAAACGACGAACAAGGTTTTTCCCTGAGAGAGGTATAGGGAATTCCCTTGATTGTCTTAATTCCCTATTCTGGATGTTTTCATTTCGTGAAAAGGCAGTTTAAACTAATGGTGACTTTATGTAAACAAAGTTTGAAAAAGGTTTCATCAAACTAATACTACTAGAATAACATCGTGACACACTGGGTAAAGCTGTTTTACTCAATTAACGAGTATTTTTAATTATCAAGAGACCGTTAGATCACCATGGTTTGATCAACAATCTACAACGAAATGCGGAAAATTGGAAATTTTGTCTGCAAATTAATTTCAACACGGTCCAGCCTGTATGACTTGATTCCAGCTTGCATATTTAAGTTTACTGCTCCAACAAAAACTGACGTCTTAGTCTAACCGGGGAAAATCCTCGATGCTATACGAAAATCTTAGTCTCGACCTTGAAACTCTGCTAAAATCGAGCCCTTTTGGTATTATCTATAGTGACGCATACAATATTAAAATCTTACACCTTTTCATTAACTATTACCTTTTCATGATCAGAAAGTTCCCATGAATATCTTATCAGAAGGCAACGGCATAGTTGCACGTCTCCGACGAAATAGTCTCGTCAGTGCGTCACTGTGACATGCGTAAAGTCCCGTTTGAGTTACGTCAGAGAAATGAACAATAAAAGTATTTGAAAACGCTGATTACGGTGCTTCCCCGCTATTAAAATAGGAAATTCTTAGTGTCTCTCTCTATACAGTGTAAAAATACTCTAGTCTGTGTTTAAGGACTTACATCAGTTTTCATAACATCCCGTTAAGTTGCGTCAGGGAAGTGAATAACAAAAGTACCCAGACGCACCAGATATAGTGCCTTCCTGAGATAAGAGTAAAAGGCTCTTGGCGATTTGTTTTTGGATACAAACGAAATCATCAAAATAGTAACCAGCTGGAAAATTTCACAAAATCCTGGGGCATCCTGCCCTTGACTTAGGTACTTCGCCCAGCTCCATAAGGATTTAGTTAGCGAGTATTGCCCCTTTCCTTCCCCTATATGACGCCTCATACAGAAGGAAAAACAAATGATTTACTACAAAAAGTTTTGTTCTAAACGACAGGAAGATGGGGGCTTATAGAATAAATGCGTTTTTCAGTTTTTGGTGTACGATGTACGCATTTTTAAACCCACGGTGAATCAAAGATGGTCGCGTCTAATTGATCATACTTTTGCTCTCACGTCAGTTTTATTCATCTAAAACTCGAGGACTACCAGTCAACCCCAATTTTCAAAGCTTGTTATAGCCAAAGATCTACAAATAGGCGATGGGGATGATCGAGATCATCGTAGAAAAAATGAACTTCCAAGAAGATAAACTGTATATACCAGGTCAACAGAAACACTGATTTGAATTCCACGTCGAAGTTAGGCAAAACGTCACCAGCTTTCGAGGCCTATATTCAAAATATTTTTGTGCCAATGGTCTACATAGTTAAGTAGGTTTGCATGGACTGCGATCGGTGTCGGTGCGTTGGATATGGGCTGTGTTGATGACAGGACCTCTTTGTTTAGCATAGGTCTTCGGTCTCTTCATCTTCTCCCAGAAGCTGAAACGCTTAGGAGATTCTAAGGTCCTAAGGTCCTAAGGTCCACCAGAAGAGAAAAAATTTCCATCTAATGTATCTTAGATGATCTTTGGTAATCGTCTTCATAGCCTAGTCACCAGTGACAGGAAAAAGGATTTTATAGAGGATGGAATTCCCTCGTGGAGTGCAGGCTGGTTTATGCGCCAACCTCGTCGCTTCCTTGCGTTCTGTTGTTGGGGTATAGTCGCTATTATCTTTTACAGAGGTAGACTGGATGATGCTGCTTTCTACTCTTGTATGACTGTTTATAATTTCATCAAAAGCTTTACCAGCACTGAAATGTCTCATATCATGTTTTTTTTTTTGACATTTTATATATCAGCTTTGCACAAAGTATTATGTAAATGTTTCTTAATCGCGTAAAACTTAATGCTCTTATTACTACAATAGAAACTTCTACCAATGCTTTTATAGCTACCGCTGCTGCTGCTTCAATTGCTATTCGTACTATTACTACCATTACTACTACCATCACAACTACTACTACTACTATTACTACTTCTACTGTACTTCCCACTACTACTAAAGTTACTCTCTTCACTTTTAAGGCTTTCAATATGGCACCAGTGCCGCCCCTCGTTGGTTGACCATTGCGGAAGGTCCATATGAGCTCATGAACTATCTTTTATGGTAAGATTGTTCTACCGATGATACAGTTGTTGAACGAAAGTCGGTAATCTCACCAAGACATGCTTTTTAAGCTCTGATCCCTCTTTGTGTCCTTATTACGTCCTGTATATGAGGTAACTGATCCATCAGGTTTTACCAGTTCACTAGGCCCAGTCCGGTGGCCTTCACTTATACCCAGAGCATCGAGCCCATATCTCCTCATGTGTCCAAAGACCTAAGCTGTTCTTGACATTCATTATATGATGCGAGCATTTCGCCCTCCTGTGTGAACCACTGCTTTGCAACGTAACCAGGTAGACTCTCCTTCATTCTCATGCTCTATCTCGGCAAAAGCTGAGTGGAGTGGATTCAGTAACCAAAATGAGCCATCTTTTTTCCTTACTGAAGTGAAGAAGTTGTACACACCATGCTCACAATACTATCTATCTCCAACTGAGGGTCTAGGTGCATTATGTTGTCTTTCCTCTCACTAAGACCTGTCCAGCTTCCCTCATCCTATCAAGGGTTAGGAGTTAAAACCCTAGGTGTCACAGTTCCCAGGATCTTTGAGGCACCTGAGTCTACTCAACAAGACAAAGTGGATGGTTTTGAGCCACACTCTTTTAGTCATAACGTCTTTGAAAAATCCACAACACACAACATACAATATTCATATCAATATTCTTTCAACAAGATTTATTTGTATATTTTCAGCTATCAACAAAATTACAAATAAAACAATGAATATCTAGTCATGTAAATATACAGTTAACATTATTTAAGGGTCATAAGAAATATAAAAAGTTATAAATAGCATCCAGGTCGCTTTTAAAAACATAACTTATGATATTTAAAGTTTTAAATATTATATTATATTTTTGTCCCAAATATAGTTTTAGATGACATATATTTTCTTCAAGGAAAACGTCACTGTAATCGGTCATTGTTAAAGCACATGTTTTGGTAAAGGGTTGTTCCCAGTGTTGCCCAGAACGAAGGAAATTTTATGAATACTGTTTTGACCTCTGCAATAAATAAAATATTGGACTTTGAAGTTGAAAATGTATTTCTTTGTTTCCATAAACTTTCTTTCCATAAATAAAAACTATGTCTTTTGCCTTTCGAATACACTTTATAAATATATTAGAATTACAGGTAACTTTTCATGGACCTAAACGAGCCATTTCCGCTAATGCCTGAAAACTAACTGATATTATATTACAATAGATATCCAAATAATGAAAGATTGACTCGGGAGCTTGATTTTTGAAACAATAAATAACAGATCCAAATTTAAGGATAATAGATAACAACAAACTGCACTATGCAAATTTTGCACACAATTAAGAGAATTTGACCAACTAAACCACAAAAACCGCTGGGCTAAGGTATTGTCTGTTCCAGGCACTCAGGTCTTAAGTAAGACCTGAGAGATTGCAATAAGCAAGGATTTACTGCCACATATCTCCTTGCAGACCAGTGGTGTCAACAGTTATTTTAATAAACATTGTATCGTTCCGAATATAGCCACCTTGCCTTAGTTCCATATGAGAAATAAACGTCGGGCAGCCAGATGCTATGTTCATGTCTGAGGTGGGTCTTTTAAAACTTGAGCTGTTAGGCTCAGGGCGAAACGCATCATACGCGTCCCGGATCCTGTCCTGGTCTATCAGTCGAAAGTGGACCTTTTGGAGAAACGGCCAAGGTAATAAAGCATCGTATTCACCCCTCATGACAACAAAGAACATTGACAAATGCGTTCCTTTGCCAATGCCGTCTCCATTGGGGTAGAGACGAGCACATACTTTGTACCCAAATCGTCCTACATAGAAAGGAGGGCTGTAAATTGACAAAGTCTTTCCAGCAACAGCCTCTTGGAAGCGTTGGCTGTAGCGGTCGATCTTCCAAAAGTAAGTGCCATTATATGATGTAGCCTCCAGCATTTGAATCTGCATATCATGATCGGACAATTGAATGTCGTGCAGAGCTAGTTGGTGCTCATTCCTGTCCAGTCGGCGCTCGGACTCACGAGTGACAGACACGTCGGATTTTGGACGGTAGTTACTCGCACCTTTCGGCGTGGCAGGGGATAATTTCAAACGAGCCACTTCACCCTGAAGACTGCTCACTTCTTTCCCGTGTTCTCGTAGCGTGTTCATTATTTCTTCCATCTGAGACGAGACAACATCCCCTTTAGTTCTAGA